ATTTGTAAAGTGTTTAACCTTGCTAGTGAGAACAACATATCTAAATAGAAAAGGAAGAGAATAAGTGTTAGTATAACGAAAAGAAATATATAACCCACTTTGCACCTGATGCAGCAAAAATATCGGCCCATTCATCTGGGTCTATATGTATAGATATTAAGAGATTAGAAAAAATTGAATAAAATATTCTATATTCACCATAAAATTCAGCACGAAATTGTGGAGCAAAATCTGCATATGTCCAATCTGGTGGATAATTTTTATTCATAAAAGCAACTGTATCAGGATTTGGATTGTCTCCTTTCCATGACCACCACATCCTAAATATCAATTAACTGAGTTTTTATTTTCTTAGATTTGTTTTTTTAAAAAATTAAAGTTTAACAACGATTATACAAAAGAACCGAAAACATACCATTCCGAATAAACAGATGGCACGCTGAATACACCCCAATGAATAAATATTCCTACTTTACTCTCATCATACCACGTAGGTAATGTGCGAGTATCCAATGAAGTCCAATCGGGTGTATATTGTTGTTCAGTAAATATTATAAAAGAATAAAAAAGCGCAGAAATAAATATGCATGCTATCAATGAATACATGCTATTTATCTGAAACAAGTAATGCTATTAACTTATCTCTGTTCATCTCTCTTCATAAATACACACACATATAAATATCTCATTAAATTGGAAAAGAATGATATAATTATTTCTTACCATGCTTCAGGATTAATTGATGGAACACTGAAGACACCCCAGTGTACAAAAATGCCCACTTTAGATTGATCATACCAATTAGGTAGGGGCCTTGTATCCAATGATGACCATTCAGGTAGATAAGATGAATGAGTAAAAACAAAAATTAAACATAGATCGATTAGAATATTATATAGACGAATGTTTAACATTGTCTACAAAATAATTATTGATGATTTTTAAACACAAATAAAAATATTTTTCTCGGTTAATTTTTTAATTAGAAATCTTTTTTTATAAAACAATTATTTTATTTCATCTGCTTCATTGCCCATTTGCTATTGATTCAAATAGTATATTAGATATTTTTATGTCAAAGTTAGCGACATCTATAAAATAAGTATGAAAATTTCTTTATGAATAAAAAAAGAAATAAAATTAAAATATAATTGAAGTAAGAAAGTTTATTGTTTTTTCTAAAGAAATTTTTCTTAATTTAAATATTGATTTTTTTGATTGGAAGATATGTAAAAAGAAAGAGAAGATAATGAGGAGGATAGAGATAGATGACACAAGAGCAATATGGCATTAACATTGCGTAAAGAAATAGAAAGATGAAATAAAAAATATATTATCTTGATGGTAAGAAATTTAGATTTCTCGAATGGTGTCTACAAACGGTATTGACGAAACATAGACAAAAAAAAATTTTAATTTTTTCGTGGCTGAAATTCAAAATCGGTTTGTTTTTTTTCTTTTTTTGAAATTTCGAAATAATATTTATTTTTAAGATCAAAAGTGGATCCAACTGGATTCCAATCGGGTGTGATTGACTCACCTAATCCTGTTGGAATTTGGCAAGGTCCTCCTCATCCATCATCATTACCTCCGCTTCCACCTCATCATCATCATCAGCATCCAGGACGTTTTCCAATTATGCCACCACGCGAATTACATTTTCCGTATGAAATTTATTTGTTTGTTTATTTATTCAGTTATTTCGCAATTTTATTTTCTTAGACCTCAACATATGCGACAATTTCGACCATCATTACCTCCGCCATCTTCACCGGAATATCGTATCTATGATTTAAATAAACGTTTATTAATGAGAACAGAAGTAATTTTAAATTAAATCAGAAGAAAAACAAAATATTTTTCTTTTTTTCTTTGTTATTAAGGAATCTGATAATCATTGGTGGGATTCATTTGTAAATGAATTTTTTGAAGAAGATGCAACAATAACAATATCAATATGTTTAGAAGATGGACCGAAACGATTTCGTAAGAAAAATTTTGTTTTTATCGAAATAGAAAAAAAAGAATTTCTTTTCTATTTTAATTAAAGACGTTGGACGTGGTTTAATTCCTCGGTTTTTCCGTATGTTATTTGATGGTGGTGTTAGTGAAGTTTATTTTTTATTAAAACAAACAAAAGAAATATTTCATAATACAACTCTATCAATTGATTGTGAACAAGGATCATTAATTACTTGTTTTGGAAAACCATCACATATCAAAGTAAAAAAAAACAACGAACAGCAAAATAGTTCTGAACATTTTTTTTTTATATTATAGGTTTGTACTGAAGGACATTTTAATATTGAATTTACGTTTGATGATTTAATGCGTATTAAATCTTGGCATTTTTCTATAAAACAACATCGAGAATTAATTCCAAGAAGTGTTGTTGCCATACCAGTATGTATCAACCTCTCGAACTTATTATTTTTAGTAGCACGGAAAATTGTCAAACTTAGTTTTGTTTACATATTAAGTAGATTAATATAATATAAAATATATTTCTAATTAGAATGATAGTCCAACTTATCTTGATCAATTATCAAAAAATTTCACTCGTCATGGTCTAACATTATCAATGTTAAATTTTCTTCGAGTAAATATTTGATTATTCCCATTAATATATGTTAATTTTTATACATATATATTTTATTAGTTATGTGAAATTCTTGAGCCAATGCAAGAAATAATGTCTCGCCATAAAACGACATCATTTTCTCCACGTGATTGTTTAAAAACAATTTTACATCAACGTTGGTCAAAAACTTGTTCAGGTAAATCTACATAAAATTAATATTCAATATTTTATTTTATTCTTTTTAGATACTCGACCACCGGCAAAAACTAGACGAAAACGAAAAAATACTGTAGGAAATAATAATAATTTACCACCTACTAAAGATACTCCAATGACAAATTGTACAACACCAACAAAAAAACGATCACCTGCAAATAATATCTATTCTCAACCTTCAACACAAGGAATGAATAACATGCCAGGGGTATGAAAAATATATTTTCAAAAAAAAACGAAAATTTTTATAATAATAATTATTATTTAGGATGTGATGATTGTTGGTGAACCATCATTAATGGGTGGTGAAATGGATGATGAAGATGAACGTTATATAACTCGACTTGAAAATACACAATATGATCCGAATAGTATCTCAACACAATATCATTCTCCAAATCATCAAATGACACAAGGATATCAACAAAATCCAAATCTTCAATCATTACTTCATCCTAAACAACAATTTTTACCTAATTCAAATCAAATTTTAAATCCAAATCAAATTAAACGAGAACAAATATCATTTCCTGGATCACCCCAACAACAACAATTGCCATCTATGTTTTCAAATAATCCTCCGACACCAAATGGTATCAATACATCACTTAATGGTGAATTATCAACAGTAGGAAAAAGAATTTCAACTACAAATATTAATTCTTCCAGTTCGCCGCAGACACCTTCAGCAAATAATTATAATCAGGTTCGTCTTAATATCAATTGAAAATCTAATCAATTATAAAAGAAAAGGATAAAAATCTCGAATAATAATTGAAACATTTAGAGAAAAAAAGTCAAGTAGAAAATCGTTATAAAATGTTTTTTTTTCGTGAATATAAATGTTGTCTTAAAATATCGCATTGATAAAAATTCCTAATTAATGAAATATATATTTCTCTTAGAATTCTGTAACTCCTTCGACAATGAATATTCCAAATCCATCATTAAATACTTCTTGGAATAATTCATCTTCATCTACAATTAATCCAGATATAGCAGAAAAAAAACAAGAACCTCATACTCCACCAGTCACACCACAACATACAATAGCAACAGCCTCATGAAAAAATAAATCTCATTTTGAAAAAAAAAGAATCAAAAAATTTATGCATTTCTTTCTTCTTCTTCTTTTTTTGGTCTTCTATTTGTAAAAAGTTTTTATTTCAATAGTTTAGATGTCTTTTCTTCTTTTTCGATTTTGTATATTTCATTATTTTCCTTCTCGTTTATTCAATGATAATATTTATCTTTCTCTCCATGCGCATTCCAAAGATCTGTCTGTGAGTTTCAAACTGATATCCTTTCATTATTTCTTGAAAGAACAACATTTAAAAAATTCATTTTGTTTCTTTTGTCATTACATTTTGTGTGTTATGTGTTTTTAATGCTTTATGCATTTTGTATGTGTATCAAATAACAGTGAATATATATATATACATATATATTCTCTCTTTTTTCTCTCTCTCTCTCTTTATCAATGATAATAGACGAATGATGTTAATGTTTGTTTGTTTTTTTCTCCTCTGTTTTCCTTTTTCTATTATCTTTATTTAATAATTCATATACATAGAAATATATATGTATAATAATACATAGCATCTATTGATGTTTGCATTTTTTTTTCTTCTTTTAGATGGAATTAAAATAAGTAAAAAAAACAGATCTTTTCAGATAAAATTTCAACAATGACCGATGAACAAGAACTTCTTGATTATGACGAAACAGATGATGCACCACAAACAGGAAATAAAACTGTTGCATCAAATGGTAATAGTGGTGTAACATCTTTAAAAAATGGAAGTTCAACTGGAACACAAGGTGGAGCAATACGAGGTTCCTATGTATCAATACATGCTAGTGGTTTTAAAGATTTTCTTCTTAAACCTGAATTACTTCGTTCGATTATGGATTGTGGTTTTGAACATCCATCTGAAGGTTTTAAATCAAATTAAAAAAATAAAGAATTCCTGTTAAAAATTCATTTATTTATTCTATAGTTCAACATGAATCTATACCACAAGCTATACTTGGTACAGATATTGTATGTCAAGCGAAATCTGGTATGGGTAAAACAGCTGTTTTCGTACTTGCTACACTTCAACAACTTGAACCTGTTGATGGACAAGTAAATAAATTTTTGTATAGAAAAATAATTAAAACAAATTTTTTTGATTTTATTTTTTTCAGGTTTCAGTTATTGTTCTTTGTCATATACGTGAATTAGCATTTCAAATAAGTCGAGAATATGAACGTTTTTGCAAATATATGCCATCCGTTAAAGTTTCAGTTTTTTTTGGTGGTTTACCAACAAAAAATGATGAAGATGTTTTGAAAAAAAATTGTCCACATATTGTTGTTGGTACACCTGGTCGAATTTTAGCTTTAGCAAAGAGTAAAGCACTTAATTTACGACATGTAAAACATTTTATTGTTGATGAATGTGATAAAGTACTTGAATCACTTGGTATATTAAAAAAATAGATGAAAGATTTGAATTGTAGAATTTATTATTTTCTTAAAAATATTCATAGATATGCGTCGAGATGTTCAAGAAATATTTAAAATGACACCACATGAAAAACAAGTCTTAATGTTTAGTGCAACATTAAGTAAAGAAATTCGACCTGTCTGTAAGAAATTTATGCAAGATGTAAGTTTCATTTCTTATTAAATTTAATATTATAAATTTCGATTTTTCTAGCCTATGGAAATTTACATTGATAATGAAACTAAATTAACACTTCATGTAAGTTAGAAATATGATATATTTATTAAACTAAATACCGCTACTACAAATGAATGGTTATTGGCTGTTAAGATTTTTCCTATAGATCATAACAAAAGTCTTAATAATGTGCGAAAAATTATCGTTCAATGATACAAATTTACAATAATTCTTCGAGCCCGAAATAATAGTAGGGAATCTTCTAAGTAGTTAATATAAACATTGATGAGTCTATCAAATTGGCTGTGCTAATTCCAAATATTCGAGTTCATGAACGTTCTTAGATGTTATATTATCACTACTGAATAATTAATCGATAATCTATGTATCACTAAACAAAAGAGAGTGGTTTGTTGTGTTCTACACCCTAAGAACTACGATGATGTAAATACAAATTGAATTATTTTTTTGAAAATTTAATCTAGGGTCTCCGTCAACATTATGTAAAATTACGTGAAAATGAAAAGAATCGAAAATTAATTGATTTACTTGATAAATTGGAATTTAATCAAGTAGTTATTTTCGTTAAATCCGTACCACGTTGTACTGCTTTATGCAAATTATTAACTGAACAAAATTTTCCTGCTGTTGAAATTCATCGTGGAATGGCACAAGAAGATCGGTTTGTTTATTATTAATGACATTATATAGAAATATTTATTTAAAATATTTTTAATCTTAGTTTGGCACGTTATAAAGAATTTAAAGAATTTCAAACACGTATTCTTGTTGCAACAAATTTATTTGGACGTGGTATGGATATTGAACGTGTTAATATTGTATTCAATTATGACATGCCTGAAGATACAGATACTTATCTTCATCGAGTAAATATTTACCAAAAAAAAATGAATTATTCTTAATACATAATTTCTTTTTAGGTTGCTCGAGCTGGTCGTTTTGGTACAAAAGGTTTGGCAATAACATATGTTGCTGATGAAAGTGATGCAGCTATTCTTAATGAAGTTCAAAGTCGTTTTGAAGTACAAATTACTGAAATGCCCGATGAAATCGATGTTACTACATACAGTAAGAATCTCTTTTGGAATTTGAATAACAAAAATTTATTCTTTCTTTTTCTAGTCGAAAATCGTTAATTATCTGGTCCTATTATTGGCTCAAATGAAATTTGTAAACTCTTTGTTTTTGTCTTGTCTCGGTTATTGTCATTATTGCTTTTCTGGTTCTTTGTCTTTTCTTTTTCTTCTTTTCGTCTAAAACACAAAATCTATGTGAGTGCATTGAAGAATATGAATTTGTTATTCAATCTGTTCATTCAAACACTTTTTTTTCTGTTGTATGTTTTTTTTCTGTCTCTTGGATAGTACACAAGCAAGAACAACAATAAAAATATTCTTACAAAACATAAATCTAAGTTCAAGATGAAAAAATTTCTTTTTTGATCAATTTATATTGATAACAAACATTGATGAAGATTACTTCACAAATTATTTCTTCTTCTCTTCTGTTTTTTCTTCTTCTTCTTCTTCTTCTTTCTCATGTGCTTGTGTTAGAAAATGTGTGATGCTCTTGTGTTTTTCTCTTTCTGTATGCTTGTGTCATTTTCCATTATCTTGTTGTTTGTTTGTTGAAAATAAAATCATCAAGACACATACATACAATTATAATTTTATAATTAGAAAATTCTTACTCGGAGAGTGAAAAAACATCTTCGTGCTATTGTAAAATTATTTATCTCTAATTTATGGATAACATGAATTGTCATTTCAAGGTCTAATCTAAGTAGTTACCAGCAGGATCTCTTTTCCTTTTATAAATGTATTTTATTAGCATACTCATTATTAAATCATTCCTATGAAGTGTATCATTATATTTCACGGAATTTAAATAATTGTATGTTGATTCTAAAGATTTAACAAAAACGATAAATAACCATTCATAATGACGAGATTTTTAAAACCTAAACGATGAGAATTACTCCTAATAGTCTTACTAATTTTAAGAAACAATACTTAGATTATTTTCTAATAAGTTTGATCTAATCCATCTCGATCTTTATGTATTTCATATGATTTATATTCAGTCATCCGTTTAAGAAGAGGTAGATTCATTACAATGATAAGTAATGCAATTTTAAATCTATCGTATAATATCTTTCCAAATGAGAAAAGAAAAGATTGATGTTAAACAAGATAAATAAGAAGAAAAAGAAGAAGAAGCAATGATGAATAAAATTGAAAAGTTGAACAAGTACAATGATCACTTATAGTTAGTCCTTTACAATTACTATTATATTTCTTTCATGTCTGAAGTGAAAAAGAGAGAGATAAAGTGAAAAGAATACTCCAAAAATCAAAAGAGAAAGGATATACATGATAAACCAATTAACGCTACATAATCATTGTAAAAGAAAAGTGATGACAAGTAAAGGATAAATAATAAATGAGGCTATATTTAGATGGAATAAAAAATGCCACAAAATAGAATAAATATGAAGTGTTATACTGGTTATATTATCGATGTAAACGACTGTTATTTTTAATGATTTCATAATATTTTTATTATTCATTAACTGAGAGACCGGTAATAATGATCGATGATTCTTCAATGGTAACAAACATTCCATCAGTAATGCCTTTTGGTTCATCTGTTGGTTAACTTTATTTAATATACATCAATTCCCTTGTTATTTTGTTGTAAATTGTTGCTGAATAGAATAAAGAAGTAGTTCATAAACTAGATTTTGTCTTTGTTTTGACTTATTCGAAATTGGTGTTATTATGACCTTTTGTTGTAGTGATTTACAAATTCTACTGCGTATTTAACAAAAAATGATGAACTGTTGAAATGAAGTATTGGTAAAGATCATAAAATGAAAAATAGGATGAATATTTAACCAACATTTGAATGTGAATGCAGATGTGTATGAATATTAAGACATATTTCATCCGCACTTACATTCTCAACAGTATCGCAGAAAATGTACATTTAAACTTTTTATTTTATAATGTGCAACATATTACATCTATCTACATAGATTTAGAAAAGCTATACATAAGAATCAATATATACTATTATCACCATACTGAACAGTTAATCTATGTTGTATATGATTCTTTATAAATTTACTACAATATTGTGCAATAAATTATAGAACATGAATTATGTACAATTGGAAATCGACCTTCGTTACATAAACATATCGCTTTGGTATGCTATACCATTCTTGTGCTTGATGTCATCTCATTATAAATTGTATTCACGCTAGAGAATGGACAAAAAAAGAGAGAGAGAAACAAATGCAATATCTATAATCAATAATAACAATAATAGTAGATCATATCATCTCAAATTAATACTAACTAAATCGATCAAAAT